TTACAGCTTCAACTATTTTCTTTATACCAATGACTTCCAATGACATTGTATCAACTTACTTTATATTCCCTTTTCCTGAATTCCATTTCTACATTTCAATAGCTTCCTTGATAAATAAGGTTTGACCTCCACTTGTGTTTAACCTCCTCTAAGGTGAGAACCATATATATATATATCTCACAATAAAGGAATGCATAACTTTCAAGTGTTTGATCAAAATTTGTGCTTTTGGATACAATACATTATTAAAATTTACTTTCATTATGTGAAAATGTTACTATTTTCCTGTGGAATTACTATTATGGCCTTCCTTGACCCTATTATACCATATTCTCATTGCATCTGTATATAAATACTAAATTTTAACATTTACCTCAGATTAGTTCATATTATATTTGTTCAGTTTATATATTCTGAACTCACCAACTGCAGACACTGTGTCATAATTATCTACAACTTATTCATTCTTTTATCCTCCCAGTGTCTTGCGTGTAGCAAGAACTCAGGAAATGTTTGCTGACTTGAGTTGAACTAAAAGTAAGGTGCTAAATATTCACTGACAGTGAAAATCCCTCAGATAATAAGCCCCAAAATAAAATATTATAAAATTTTCTCAAGTTCTTTGGCTTACAAATTTTACATTTATGAAAAAGGATATTTCCCATGAAATATAAACTAAATAACAGTTGTTTATTTGGTGGAAACACTACCAGCACAGCTTTTTGTGGCATTTGAGTTCTGATTCGTTTGTGCACTGAAAAGCATGAAAAAAAAAAAAATTTTGAAACAATTATGAAGGAGGAAAAACTACTACTTGGTATTTTACAATTAGTAAGTTATTTTAATTTCAAAGATCAAAGGTTCATTATTTGTCATTACGCTAAAATCTTTCATTAATATCTTAGAAATTAGAAATCAAAACAGTAGTAATTCTGCCCTTTGTGTGTGAATATGATAAACTAGTAAAATGTCTTTATTTTTTTCTTTTCTTTTTCCTTGCATGGATGATGGATTTAAGCTGTATTTCCTGTGATTAGTGACACGTATTTCTGAAATGGCTGGTCTGAGTTTAGGCTATAATATGTGTCATGGGACAAATAAAGAACAATGGGGAACAATATGTGAAAAAGAGCCTTTCATTCCATATTCTAACCAGCTTAGATATGTAGACATAGACTAAAGGCTCCCCACATTGGCTACAAAAGAGACAGAAATCAGAGATAAACTCAGACAGACAGACAGATTGATAGATAGATGAAAGATGATAAAAACTGAGGTTCATGAACACTTCTGCTACTCCTACACAGTATTTATGGATAGTAATTTAAGAACAATGAACGATGAACAATGAACGATTTAAGAACGATGAACTACATTCATTAGAGAGGTGTACTATGAATTTACCTTAAAAGACATTACTAAACACTTTACAAGTATTAATCCTGAACCTTATAAGAACCCTGCAAGGTAGATATTATCATCTCTACTTTGTAGGTGTGGATCCTAAGGCTCAGGGTCTTGCCTTAGAGTTCCTAGCTGACAAGCGGCAGTGCCAAGAGTAGCACCCAAGTCCATCTGATTGCAAGGCTCAAGCTCTTTCCACTACGCCAAGCCTCCTGGATGCAGAAAGAGATGAGGCCTTGGTGGAGGGAGGCAGGGGAGTGAATCTCAGAGGCAGAGATCTGAATTTCTTTCTTCCCACACAGAAGAGCACTGCATCTTTGAAGGTGGAATAATCAAAAGCTAACTTTCACTTCAAACAGTATAACATAGAACATTATGAAAAATCTTCTGAAGATGCTAAAAGCTTAGAACTTTTTTTAATGAAAGAGGGTTTAATATTCCACTGGGCTCGAATCAATTTAGAATTTTAGAGCTGGACGGGCCTTGAGAGATCATCTAGTCCAGCCTTTATAGATGCGGAAAGTGAAGTCCAAGGAGGTTAAAGTCACGATTTTCATGAGTGGACTAACGATGAATTCTTAACCTCAGTTCAGTGGTCTTTTTGATATAATATGTCATCTTTAATATAATTTTACTTCATTTGGTTATAAAACATATTACAACACAGTTTTATTTATATGAATATGTTGTCATAAATGTGTATCTATTATAAACCCACATATATGACTTCACCTTTTGAATAGAAAGGTCTTTAAATACAGTAAAATGGGCATGTATTATATTATATTAACAAATGTCATATTCTAGCAGTCAAATAGAGAGATGTTAAAACACTAGACAGGAAATATAAGTCCTACATCTTCTCTAATCAATAACCCAGTAGCCCAGGCAACCTTAAGACTTTCAACGGTGTTTAAAATTTTAAAAATTAACTGAGAACAAAAACAAAATGGAGGAATAAACCAAGGACTCACCTCTCCTACACTTTTCATAGAGCTACCAATTCGACTAGATGTTCCATGAAAACGGTCAAGATCCCAGCGAGGAATCTTGGTGACCATGTAATCCAGGCTAGGTTCAAAGCAGGCTGATGTCTTCCCCGATACAACGTTCTTGATCTCTGGAAGTGGGATTCCTAAGGCAATCTTGGCAGCAATGAATGCCAATGGGTAGCTATAAAGAAGGACATAAATTTATTTTTGTTTTTTTTCTTTGAGCAGTAAGTATTAAAAAAACAACCCAAAATATAAATTTGTCTTTCTAAAAAATTCTGGTATTATTGTACTTCAGGGTATAAGACACACATGATTCTCTGTTCTTATGAATATTTAATGGCCACTTATAAAACAATGTGAGTTATGATACAAAGTATGGAGGCATAGGTCACAGGAGAATTCATTCTCCGTGCATTATATACATTGCTACAACTCCCATCTTCACCTCTTCAATCCAAAATCAATAGCTTCCTTGATAAATAAGGTTTGACCTCCACTTGTGTTTAACCTCCTCTAAGGTGAGAACCTGAGAATATTCTTTTGAGAAAATATATACAGATCTGTACCTAGGAGGACAACGGAGTTAGCTGGTTCTAGGAGGTATGTAATGGTCAGAAAATGTAGGCTTTGCAAGTTTGGGTCCTTGCTCTATCTCTAAATTATCTTTGAACTTTAGGCTCCTTATAAAACTAACACTCTGGGAAATTTTATTTGAGGAAATAATTCATAGAACTATAGAATTAAATATGAGTTCTCTAGTACAATTATCCATCTAACAGATGAGGAAACTGATAGAGATGGTAAGTGATGTGCCCAATATCACACAGTCAATGGAAGAACCAAATGAGAACTCAGGTCTTGTGACTCTACATAGAGCAACACACTTTCCACCACTCCATGCAGTACTGTGTAACTACATTTAAAAATCTATAGAAGTAAATATTTTGTTCACTTAAATGCCATGTAATTTAATTATAAGATGCTAAATATATTAATAAAAACAAAAGGTTTTAATTAATGTCCCCTCAAATTATGCTTGCCAGCAGTTGTTAAATGAACAGCAAATTTATTTATTTGGTTGCAACATTCACTTGCAGAAAAATTCTACATTGCTTAGTCTTGTGGAATTTTGTTAAAATAAAAGTAATGTGTATTGAATGCTTGGGTTAAATGAACTATATTTTTTGTCAGCTATTTGCTATGGAGCTATACACCTGAAAAAGCCAGTTGAGGACTAAAATTAAGGATTAATTTGCACTATTAACAACATCTGCAAAGTGCAATTGAGAAGCAGATTTTTCACAGCCTGCTTTAACCACCCAGATTTTGATTAGTTTATGATTAGCCAGCAAACAAAGCCAGCTAGCAATACCATTTGCCTCAATCTAGCAACGAGCTCATTAATAACCATGCCCTTAGGGTCCCATAAATGATTTGGAGCCAGCATACAGAAATGGTGAATATAATTTGTAAATACAGCACAGTTTTCCACTTGCTATCAATTTTCCATTTCTATCTGTGAAGAATCTGCAAACCATGGTCAATCATTCTGGTCTTACCCAGTGGCCTTTGAAGCCAGGGCAGAGCTTCGGGACAGTCTGGCATTCACTTCAATGATGCAGTACTCCATTGAAGTAGGATGAAGGGCAAACTGGATGTTGCATTCACCCACAATGCCCAAGTGGCGGACGACATTGATTGAAGAGCGTCTCAACATCTGAAACTCCGCATTGGAAAGTGTCTGGGCAGGGGCCACAACAACTGAATCACCTGTATATCCAAGCAGCACTCATTATCTGATGGCATATTTAAATAACCAGCTTCAATAACTTAACAATCTACTTGCATGATACAAGACACAGAGCATTCTGAGGGTTTGTGGGGAAAATAATTATTTTAAGGTAATATCTATATATGAAACATCAGGCATTCCCCCTGATTCTTGTTTAGTCCATATTACTCTGACACATTGCTTATAGAAACCCTTTAACCTTTCCCAAACCCATCTAGCTATCAAGGCTGTAATCATCTACTTACTAGATTGTCATTAACTTCTTTAACTTCCCTTCTTTTCATCTCAAATTATCTAGCGCGTTCTTCCTTCCACAGAGAGTTGTCTCCTCCTCACCCAGACTGGCTCATCCATCTGCTTTCTGTATCTCATACCTTCTCATTCTCACTCCTCGCCAATCATAGTCCTTTATATCTTCAATTTTGTAGTCTTTAGGCTCCATCCCTTCTGTCCTCAAACATGCTCACGTTTCTACTGCCACAAGAAGCCCCTCTCCCAACATTGCCAGACAATCATACAAATCTCTCATTCTTTGACATGACTGAGCTTCTTGCAAGTTTGCTAGTTCTGCTTATCACTCTTTACCATATAATTCCTTTCAATAGGGCTCACGGAATTAACTTTGCAATGAAATTGTTCTCCTGGACATCTAAAAAGCCAAATTAAATTATCATTCTTGATCTTGCATAGCATTTGGTACTGCTAAAAACAAAGCTCTTTCATAAAATATGTTCTTGCATTGGATTACTTGGTACTGCACTATCCTGGTTTTCTTCCTCTCTTTTCCTCCCTTCTATCTTCAACACTAATCCTTTCTCTTTCTCCTGCTCTATAAATCTAAATGTTTCCCAGGGTTCAGAGTTTGCCCCTGTTCTCTTCTCTTTCTATACGTATGCCCTTGAATATTTTTTCTATGCTTACAGCTTCAACTATTTCCTTTATACCAATGACTTCCAATGACATTGTATCAACTTACTTTATATTCCCTTTTCCTGAATTCCATTTCTACATTCTCAGCTCCCTTCTTGAGAATTCCGCCCACACCTCAAATTTAGCATTTCTCAACCCTAAGTCATCATCTTTGCCCTCTCATCTAACTAGTTCATCTTCCTTAGAAACCTATTTCTATTACCTGTGCCTATTTTCTCGTTCACTTGGTGACTAACACCTCCGTCTACTTTAAGCCTTCTCAAGTTGACTTTTTACTTGTCAACACTAAGTCTTACAGATTTTACCTCCACTATATTGCTTATATTTGACTCTTTCCTCAAATGAAATCAGGATAATAATATCTGCCTTACTTCATAGGGTTTTTGAGTATATCAAATAAAATGTGAGAATATTTCTAATACTGTAAAATACTGTACATATGTAAAATGTTATCACTTGTCTGTCACCTAGGAATAATTTAAGGAAAAGAACCTCATAAAGACTGCTGTGGCCATCAAAGACATGAGCTGAAGGCATTACTATAATTCTTGAAGATTCTTTGCCTACCTGTATGAACGCCCATGGCATCAACATTTTCCATATTACAGACAGTGACACAATTGTCATCAGCATCTCGGACCACTTCATATTCTATTTCTTTCCAACCTGTCACTGATTTCTCCACCAGAATCTGGTTGGTCATAGCAAAGGCCTGAAAATCGGTGACAAGAGATATCAAAGAGTAAGAGAAGACACTGCTTAAACCAGGATATTTGGCAAAATGCCCTGACTTAACTCATGGTCAGCACTGAAGTCTCAAACCCAATCTCCATCCTTCCCTGCGCTCCAGAAGGCACAGTGTGTCAGAAAATCAGTGAGGTACTAGGAATAGCATCCTGCAGTGAATGCGCTTGATTTACATTATTGAGCCTTGCCATTCAAAGTGCTGATATGACATTAAATCAAACTAATTTAGGAAAAAGAGAAAATAATTGAGCAATCAGGCAGAGGGAAATGAAATTATTTCAGCAGCTAGGCTTCTGTGAAACCAGAAAATGTGATAAGTGCGAATAAATGTGGAAAAATAAGTCTAAAGACTCCGGCTTTCTCTAAAATAGCTGAGGGTGCTTTGTACAGTGACACACACAGTAAAAGTTAGTTGATGTTGATGAGGAGGAGAGAGGAGATGATGATGGTTATAAACAGTTAGCCAAGATAGCATATAAAACTTGGGAATTAGAAGAATCATATGTGACTATTATTCTGGTTAATCACTGCCTAAGTGCTTAAATACTCTGAGTCATATATCATGTATACCTGATTAAACAGATATGAATTAGTGTAATTATCATTGCATATTTACAGAATACCCACAATAGGTAGAATATTGAGCCCAAAATATGAAGAGGCTATCTCTGATCTTAGGACATGTGATGGCTGATAAAGACAGAAATGTTCTTTTGTCTCATAATATATTTGATTTGGGATGGCAGTGAAAGGGAAAGTAATTTGAATTTTTTCAAATTATTAGTAGGCAGTATAATAAAATAACTCAATGTAAGTTTTTCTATAATGTGTTTCAACACTATTTTTTTTAACCTCAGTCATCATTACAGGCTCCAGCACATGCAATTGAAAATCTGACACATTTGTTCCCACAGCTGCCCACGATGAGGTTCTCATAGTGGTTAAGAAATTATGTAGCCGATGTTAACAATTTAATAATGATTAATTTGCCATTCCGGTTGCCTGCTAAAAGAAGAAATCTAGGCAACAAAGGGTATAAATCTGGGAAAGCTTTTTGCATTCTAATGAAGTAGAATGGATTTTTGGGTACAGGGAAAATTAAGATCATCTTCACCTGTTTCCTCAGCTTGTTTTTTTTTTTTTTCTTTCAAGTCTAAGATATTATATAAAGTCAACTTAGAGACCTGGATGAGTTAATGTAGCTTTTAACGGTGCTAACTGTAACCTCAAGAGAATAAGGGGATAGCTTACGACATAAACATATGACTAATTATTCTCAAGGGAAAAGCTAGGTTTTTTTCAATAAGGAAAACCATTCAAGGGCCTATTGATTAGCTGAGTACAATATAAATAATTGAAAACTATCTCATTCCAAAATTGTGTTCATTATAAACTTTTTTACATAAAAATTCAATATTCAGAAGGTTTTTTTATACAGTGAAAAATATTTTTAACAGCAAATAAGCACACATTGCCACTATTGGTAGTAATAATGAGATTGAAAACATTTGGAACATCTAATATGCTAGAGAAAATAAACTTCTATAAATCTCAATAAACATAACTTTGCCTTAAATACATGATTTAAATGTACAGAATGGAAACAAGAAACATATGTATTAGATGTCTCCTTTTTTTTGTAATTTTCACAACTTTAGAAAAATGAAATCCAAGTGGTTCATATGTAGGTTTGTCATAATAATTATTTAAATATATTTAATTGTATGTATATGTTCTCAAAATCCTATGTCAACAATTCAAGAGTCTCATTTATTTCAATTCAAAAAATAATGATAAAGCTATAAGCTGTGCTTGAGCTATTTACTAAGCACTCCCCAAAGTAGCCCTCACAATAATTCTGCCAAATTTGCTTCCACGACTGCCATGTAAGTTACACAGGTTTCTTGGCCGCACATGTATGCATTCATTCAGAGTAATTATTGAGCCCCTGGTATTGCCAGGAATTGGTCTATTCTGTGGAAATAGAGTATGGACAAAAGTCTCTGTTTTCCTGGAGCACATTTTCTGTATTAATCTCTAATTTATTTTTTGGAGCATATCTTAATTATCTCAAGATTTTTCCTTTAATACTCAAGAAGTGTTTAGTAATATGTTAAAGTGATTTGATAAAAAATAAATTATACACACTCAAACCTCATCTTTGTTTTTATGCATGTATGGCAGTTGGCAGAGTTCACTCATTTATTATACTGCGAGGTGTATATTATATATACTGAGTTTTGGGTAAAGCCAAACTACTCAGTGTACTTTGCTTCACTAACTGGATATTATCCACGTCACATTATTTCAAAAAAAATGGAAAAATGGGACATTCTATCCTATTTTTTTCTTAACCACTAAAATATATTCTAGCTTTTAAATATTTTGGAGTGGGATGTAAGCAGAGGAAGTGGAGTTGTATTAAGTTCAAATCACTAAAGTCACTAGATTGTACGATAAAGACGCACTTTTAGATAAGATGACCATTGGTTTATCTGGAACCATGTGGCTTGTCACTGCATCCCAGCATAGTTGCACTGCACCTCCCTCTCAAAGTGCTGTCTTTTGGACAACACATTTAGAAAATATGATGATTTAGTCAATAGTGAGAAATTATCTTTTCATTACATAACTTTCTCCAACTGAAAGGATATATTAAGTCAGTTTTTTTCATTGGTAAGAATATTGTCTATGGCCAGGCATGGTGGCTCACACCTAATCCTAGCACTCTGGGAGGCTGAGGTGGGAGGATCACTTGAGCTCAGGAGTTCAAGACCAGACTGAGCAAGAGCAAGACCTCGTCCCTACTAAAAATAGAAAAAATTAGCTGGGCATTAGAAAATTTTTTAAAAAAGAATATTGTCTATGAAAATACATACCTTTGTGCTAAGATCCATTAAGGTCTCCCTGGTCGGACAAAGGCCTGAGCCCAGCCCGCCCAGTGCATAGGCAGAACGGATCATCACTGGGTAGCCAATGGTGTCTGCTGCCTTCAGCGCATCCTCTATCTGTCAACAAGAACAAGGACTCAAAATTTTAAAACCTGACCACACTAGCAGAAAAGATCACACCAAGAGAGCCTGGTAATTCTGGTAAATCAATTTATTTGGGGAGGGGAGTGGGTATAAAAATTTTCAACTACTTCCTCATCTCCTTCTGAAAAACAAGTGCTATTACGCAAATGTTAAGTAAAATTGTAGGAGAGATTTTTCAAAAAAAGAAAAATATATATGTATATGGGGAAGGATTTTAGAAAATATACTTTTGTGGCAAATTTTATCTTCTCCTATAAAAATAGAACCATGGCCAAAACAGTAATAATCATCATTCATTTGAGAACACGAGCCATATTGAATTATTGAATTTTAAACTTCAGTTTAAAAGTCTATCTTTTAATGAAACAAGGTTTCCTACTGCTGAAGTTAATTTGGTATTACCACAATAACCCATTAGGAACACTGTATAGAAGGAGATTTTTCATTTTTTAAGCTTAGTCTGAGAATAGTCCCAGAAGCTTAGAATTTTTTTTTTAACTTACAAAATACAACATATGGTGGCTATATTTTTCTGTCATGGAGTATTATTACACTACCATTGGGAATGTAATTACACCTTTCCCATATGCCTGTTTCTCATCCTGAGGAAGCAAGGACATAATTAAATCTGGCAATGAAAGAATAAAGGTATGGCAGGAGCTTCCCAAAGTGTTCAGCAGAGCTATCCTGGGATTATTCCTGATTGACAGCTTTGTAACATGGAATGTACTTGGTAGCATTCTTTTCCAAAACATACATAACCCAATTTCACTTGTCCCAGCAGTACATGCCTATCCCTAAGGATTTGTTTATTTCTACAATGGAGAAGTTGCATTTAAAACTGCCTCTATCACCCCTGCTTCACCAACTATATGCCTGAAAACAACAATAAAGTCAGGGGGAAAGCGGCAGAGCACAGTGGCCAAATAGAAAGCTCCAACGATTGTCCTTCCACATGAACACCAAATTCGACAACTATCCACGCAAGGAAGCACCTTCAGAAGAACCAAAAATCAGGTGAGTAATCACAGTACCTGGTTTTAATATCACATCAAGGAAAGAGGCACTAAGACAGAAAAGACAGTCTTGCATTGCCTATGCCATCCCTCCCCCAAACCCCAGCAGTGCCACCCTGGTGGGCCCAGTGGAGAGAGAAAATCTGTGTGCCTGAGAAAAGAAGAGTGAAGTAATTGTGGACATTACATTGGAACTCAGGCCCGCCCTGTCACAGGGGAACACAGCACAGGGCAGAAATATGCTGGTGCCCACAGAAGGAGCATTTAGACCAACCTGGCCAGAGGGAAGTCCTCTACCCTGAAACCTGAGTTCCAGCTAGCCCCACCACCAGCCAAAAAAAAAAAAAAGCAGCCTGGGCCTGGAATAAATGTGCTAGGCAATCAGGCCACAAGGCTAAAGTCCTTGGGTAATTTCCACAGCCATGCTGGCTTGGAACCAATGGACTTAGGGTGCATGTGACCCAGCGAGACACCAGAGGTGGCAGCCATGCCAGGGCCTGTGTCACCCTTCCCCCAATTCTAGGCAGTGTAGCTCAGGGAGAGTCTTCTTCCACTTGGGGAAAGGAAAGGGAAGAGTCTAGAGGACTCTGTTTCATAACTTGGGTACCAGCTCAGCCACAGTAAAATAAAGTACAAAAAACACTCCTGAAGACCTTGATTCTAGGCCTTAGTTCCTAGATGGCATTTCTAGAGCAACTCTGGGCCAGAAGGAAACATGTTACCCTGAAAGAAGGACCCAGTCCTGGCAGGATTCACCACCTATTCACTAAAGAGCTCTTAGGCTTTTAAAACAACAGAGGTAGCCAGACAGCGTTGCCACCAGCTTTGGGTGAGACTGGGCTGGCTTGAGACCAGGCACAGTCCTGACTGCAATGACCACAGGGGAGGGCCCACATCACATCTCCCCCAACTCCACCAGCCCAGCACAGAGAGGGAGAGAAGAAAGTACAAGACTTTGCCTGGTAATCCGAGTAATTCTCCCATACCTTACTTAAGTCCACCAAGGCAATACTAGCGGGAGTCTGCAGGAGTCACAGGGTTACCAGGCTTGGGGTGCCCCCAGTGCTGATACAGCTGCAGGGACCAAAGACTAAGGTCACAACACTCAATTCCCTTTGAATATCTGGAAAGACTTCTCAAGAAGGAAATGTTCAAAGAAGCCCAGACTGTAAATATTAAAATAAATACCTAACTCTTCAATGCTCAGACACCAATGAATATCCATAAGCATCAAGAACATCCAGGAAAACATGACCTCACCAAATGAACCAAATAAAGTACCAGTGACCAATCCCAGAATGAAGGAGATATATGATCTTTCAGAGAAAAAATTCAAAATAGTTGTCCTGAAGAAGTTCAATGGCTTCAAGACAACATAAAGAAGAAATTCAGAAGCTTATCACAGAAATTTACTTGGGCAGTGCAAAGACAATTTATGTAACCAAAGCATTTGCACCCCCATAATACACTGAAATAAAAAAAAAAAACTGCAAAAAAAAAAAAAAAGAGAGAGAGAGATTGAAATAATTAAAAAAAAAACTCAAGCAGAAATTCTGGAGCTGAAAATTCAATTTACAAACTGAGAACTGCATCAGAGTCTCTCAACAGGCTATGTGAAAAAAGAATAAAAGAGAATGAAGCATGCCTATAAGATCTAGAAAATAGCCTCAAAAGGGCAAATCTAAGAGTTATTGGTCTTAAAGAGGAAGTAGAGAGAGAGAGATTGGGGTAGAAAGTTTATTCAAAGAATAATAACAGAAAACTTTCCAAACCTATAAAAAGGCTTGTATCATCCTGATAGCAAAACCAGACAAAGATACAACAACAACAAAATTACAGGCCAATATCTCCGATGAATGTAGATGCAAAAATCACCAACAAAAAACTAACAAACTGAATTCGACAACACTTTAAAAAGATTGTTCATTATGATCAAGTGGAATTCATCCTAGGGATGCAAGGATGGGTCAACATATGCAATCAATCAATGTGATACATCATACAAACAGAACAAAGGACAAAAACCATATGATCATTTCAATTGATGCCGAAGAAGCATTTGAGAAAATTCAACATCCCTTTGTGACAAAAACTCTCAAAAAACTGGGTATAGAAGGAACTTACCTCAACATGATAAAAGTCATATATGACAAACTCCAGCTAATGTCATATTGAATGAGGAAAAACTGATAGCCTCTCCCCTAAGATATGGAACAAGACAAGGATGCCCACTTTCATCACTGTTATTCATCATAGTACTGAAGTTCTAGCTAGAGCAATCAGACAAGAGGAAGAAATAAAGGGCATCCAAATTGGAAGGGAAGAAGTCAAATTATCCTTGTTTGCAGATGATGTGATCTTATATCTAGAGAAATCTAAAGACTCCACAGAAAACTATTAGAACTGATAAACAAATTCAGTAAAGTTGCAGGATACAAAATCAATACACGAAAATTAGTAACATTATTGTATGCCAACAATAAACAATCTGAAAAAGAAACCAAGAGCAATCCCATTTACAATAGCTACAAATAAATTAAAATACCTAGGAATAAATTTTACCAAAGAAGTGAAAATCTCCAAAATGAAAACTATAAAACATTGATGAAAATAATTAAAGAGGACATTAAAAAAATGGAAAGATATTCCATGCTCATGAATTAGAAGAATCCATAGTTAAAATGTCCATACTACTCAAAGAAATCTACAGATTCAATGTAATCCCCATCGAAATGCCAATGACATTCTTCACAGAAATAGAAAAAAATAATCCTAAAATTTATATGGAACCACAAAAGACCCAGAATAGCCAAAGCTATACTGAGCAAAAAGAACAAAACTGGAGGAATCACATCACCTGACTTCGAATTATACCACAGACTTGTAGTAACCAAAATAACATGGTACTGGCATAAAAACAGACACACAGACTAATGGAACAGCAAAGAAAAAACAGAAATAAATCAACATATCTATAGTGAACTTATCTTCAACAAAGGTGCCAAGAACATACATTTGAGAAAGGACAGTCTCTTCAGTAAATGGTGCTGGGGAAACTGAGTATCCATATGCACAAGAATGAAAATAAAACCTTATCTCTTGCCATATACAAAAATCAAATCAAATTGGATTAAAGACTTAAATCTAAAACCTAAAACCATGAAACTACTAAAAGAAAACATTGGAGAAATGCTTCAGGATATTGGTCTGGGCAAGGACTTCTTGAGTAATACCCCCAAAGCACAGACAATGAAAGCAAAATTGGACAAATGGGATCACATCACACTAAAAAGCTTCAGCACAGCAAAGGAAACAATCAACAAAGTGGAGAGACAACCCACAGGATGGGAGAAAATATTTGAAAACTACCCATCTGAAAAGGGATTTATAATTAGAAAATATTAAGAGCTCTAACAACTCAATAGAAAAAATAAAATAATTCAATTTAAAAATGGGCAAAAGATCTGAATAGACATTTCTCAAAAGAAGACATACAAGTGGCCAACAGGTATATGCAGAAATGCCAGCATCATCAGTCATTAAAGAAATGCAAATCAAAACTACAATGAGATATCATCTCACTCCAGTTAAAATGGCTTTTATCCAAAAGACAGGCAATAATGAATGCTGGCAAGGATGTGGAGAAAGGGGAACATTCATACACTGTGATAATGTAAATTAGTGCAATCACTATGGAAAACACTATGGAGGTTCCTCAAACACTAAAAATAGAACTACCATATGACCCAGCAATCCCAATGCTAGATATATGTCCCAAAGAAAGGAAATCAGTATATTGAAAAGATATCTGCATTCCCATGTTTATTACAGCACTATTCACAATATCCAAGATTTGAAATCAACCTAAGTGTCCATCAATGGATGAATGGAAAAGAAATTGTGATACATATACACAATGGAATATTATATAGCCATAAAAAAGAATGAAATCCTGCC